GATATACAAAAACGTTATCATCGTCTCCTAAATCATTTTTTGTTGTTTGTTAATGGGTTTAGGCTCATTCTTAACAATCTAATATAATGTTATCATCATTGGTGTAATGTAAATGGTTATTAATGTAATGAAATATTTAAGGTTCTAATCATTATAGCTGAGCATTATTATTTTTTAGTGAATTATTAATAAAATATAGTTACATTATTAATAATTTAATATTGTGAATCATTAGTAAAGATGTTGTAAATAAATGATTCATTCATAAACGTTGATGATGAAAATATAAAAACGGTAACGATTTGATTCAAAATTGTTAATAATATAATTGCAAAGAATTGATACTTATATTGAAATCATTAATAATGATAAGATATAGTAATAATGATTTATTTCATAAACGTTGATAATGTCATTGCAAAACGTTAATACTACATTGCAAGTTGTCATGAAGTAAGAGAGCAAATTTTTAATTTCTATTTTAAAAAGGGAAAAAATTATTAATTTTGAATTTTATTAAATATTACAATCTAATTAAATTAATTTCGGATTTCTTAAGAGTGAGGGTTATAGAGAAAGTTATGGGAGGAGAAAGAAAGAGAATAATCAATTATTAATATTAATTATATATACATAATACCTTATTTATCCTCAAATACCTATTAACTACTAACCTCTTATTAACCAGCTAATCTACTATCAACCAATAAAATGGTTTAAGCAAGATACTTAAGCACCCGATTTACCTGTATTTAGCCTAATATCCACAACCATTCTATATTGAAACCAATGCCTTGATCTCAGAAGCTTTCTACACAACCAAGACCCCACCTAATTATTGAATTCCCCTTTACCTAAGTATGGAATTCCCCGTTTATCTCTTAGTCTATATCTTTCTATCCAAACAACCCAGAACTAACCACATCTCAAGAGTAGCATGCAGAATAACCTTGTAGAACATGCCACATTCCAAGTAATTAACTCTTTCAAACCTAGGCCACCTTCCTTTTTTGGCATTGCCAGTAATTTGGAAAAAATCCAAAAGTACCACTGTTTAAAAAAAAAATTCCAAAAATACCACCCAATCCCAAAAAATTCCAAAAATACCACCCTTTTTCAAAAACCGCCACCCCACCCAGCGGTTTGGTCGAAAACCGCTTGTCGGGGGCGCGGTTTTGGACCAAACCGCGGGCCTAGGGGGCGGTTATAAAAAAAAAAAAAAATTTGGACCAAAACCGCTGGGTGGGGCGGCGGTTTGGCCCAAAACCGCCACCCCGACCAGCGGTTTGGTCCAAAAGTTCGGTCGAAACTTCAAACGAACGTAACTTTGCACTCGGGTATCCGATCGTATCGATTTTTTTTTTCATTTCGCATAACTTTTCAAGATCTACAACTTTTACTAGGATGAAATTTTCAAAACAGGAACTATTTGTGGATATACGGGACCTTGAGAATAACTTTACCTTTACTTTTTAGAAATCCATGTACATTTTGAAATTATGATTATATTAAAAGTTGTAGATCTTGAAAATTTATGCGGAATCAAAAAAAAGTTCATAACATTCGGAGTTTGGAGCACAAAGTTATGGCCGCCCAAAGTTTGACGAAAGGCGAGACCCGGCGGTTTGCGGCTTGCAAGATCTCAAAAAGTTTGCGGCCTCCATTTTTTGAATCCGAATAACTTTTTGAGATCTTGCAAGTCTCAAACATTCGGGTTCCGTCTTCGTCTCGAAAAAACGTCATTTGCCACCCCGAACGACCTTTTTTTTTATTTCGTCAAACTTTGGGCGGCCATAACTTTGTGCTCCAAAATCCGAATGTCATGAATTTTTTTTTTATTCTGAATAACTTTTCAAGATCTACAACTTTTAATATAATCATAATTTCAAAATGTACATGGATTTCTAAAAAGTAAAGGTAAAGTTATTCTCAAGGTCCCGTATATCCACAAATAGTTCCTGTTTTGAAAATTTCATCCTAGTAAAAGTTGTAGATCTTGAAAAGTTATGCGAAATGAAAAAAAAAATCGATACGATCGGATACCCGAGTGCAAAGTTACGTTCGTTTGAAGTTTCGACCGAACTTTTGGACCAAACCGCTGGTCGGGGTGGCGGTTTTGGGCCAAACCGCCGCCCCACCCAGCGGTTTTGGTCCAAATTTTTTTTTTTTTTTATAACCGCCCCCTAGGCCCGCGGTTTGGTCCAAAACCGCGCCCCCGACAAGCGGTTTTCGACCAAACCGCTGGGTGGGGTGGCGGTTTTTGAAAAAGGGTGGTATTTTTGGAATTTTTTGGGGTTGGGTGGTATTTTTGCAAATTTTTTTTTAAACAGTGGTACTTTTGGATTTTTTCCCAGTAATTTCCACTTTGCTTTTGCTCTACCTATTCCTTCTCCAAACCAAAGGAAGTATGAGCATATTTTCTGTATACTCTCTATAACTTTCTTCGATAGCACAAATACATTCTTCCAATATTGTGTGACAGATTAAAGTACTTAATCCACCAGCTATAGCTTCCCAACATAAGATAATTTGTGAGATCTCCAAGATTTAGTTATGCTTGTTATCCTATCAATCAATGCATTACATTGAGCTGTAAAAAGTTTAACAGATTTCAGAGGCAAGCTTAGGTATCTAACAGGCCCTTTAAATCATATATAACCCATGTCAACTGTCTTGCTACAAAATCAACCCCACCAAAGAATACATCACACTTCATTGGGTTGCACCAAGGCATGAGAGTTTGTAGAATTCATACTAAGCTATAACACTTTCTAATGCAAAAGCATAAAAGTAGCATTTTTCATGCGAGAGAATGAATATATATTGACAAAAAAAAAAAAAAAAACTACGAAGGCCATGGAGCATGGTTGTCAATCAGTGGTGTGGTATGTTGTTCCATGCAACTGGGTTCAACCGATAATGGTCACAAAATTGACTGAACTAAAATACACTAACATGAAGTGCCTGTTGAAAACGGTGAATACTAGTCAAAATCTGAAAAATCAGTGATCCAACTTGTATGTCCAACTTGTTTGTTGTTTGTCAATATATTCATTTTTTTTATTGTAAAAAAAAAATGAATATATTGACAAACAACAAACTACGAAGGCCATGGAGCATGGTCATCAATCAGTGGTGTGGTATGTTGTTCCATGCAACTGGGTTCAACCGATAATGGTCACAAAATTGACTGAACTAAAATACACCAACATGAAGTGCCTGTTGAAAACGGTGAATACTAGTCAAAATCTGAAAAATCAGTGATCCAACTTGTATGTCCAATTTTTTACTTGTAAAAAAAAAACTTGTATGTCCAATTTTCTCTCTAAACAAAATGATGGCATTTTGGTAAATTTAATTAACAAAAAATTTAAATATGAGGATGAAATATTTTTTTTTTAATATGGATGCTGATATTATTTGTTAGATTCGTGTAGAAAGTTTTAGATATTGACATTAAATGTTATATTTAAATATGATAATTTTTTATTTTATTTATAATTTTATACTTTATTAACTTATTTAAATATGGATGTAATTTGTGGAGAGACTTTCTTGAGAAAAGTTATGTATCTGCGGAATACATTTACTTTTAACATTTTTGCACTTTTTCTATATATTTTGTTAAAATCGACATATATTGATTGTTCCTTTATTAGACTTTCACTTGTCAAACCAACATGATATAAACCCATTTGACAACATTTCATAGAGGCTTGAGATAAAATGCTAATCCCGAAACCCAAGCCCACGGGCTACGAGCAAAAGACTTGGAATCATGGGGTAATTAGCATAAATGGTAACAAACCTTTGCACTTAGTACAAAACGGTCACAAACCTTTAATTTGTAACAATATGGTAACAAAATTTTGAAATTGTATAAAATGGTCACCGCTATTTAATTTGTGACCGTTTTGTTTTAAATGAAAAGGTTTGTTACCGAATCGTTACAAATTAAATGTTTGTCATGTTTTGAGGTCGGGTAGTTTGTTCGTTAAGTATATGACACTAACCACTTGAACAACATATAAGATGTCAGCTCATGTGTTCATCGACATATTTGCTTTGCCAAATAAGAATGCCCTCAGTTGACCTTTCAATTTCGATACCAATCTATCAAAAACAAATTTCGATACCAAGAAAGTAGACAAAGTTTTTCCAACTAAAAAGCAGTCTGGAACCCGTTTGTGAGCCATTGAATTCTCTCATTGTCATCCTTTATGACGATCATATCATTCACATACATTAACAAAACCACCATACAACTAGAGCGAATTGTAACGGTGATTGAGCGTTCAAACTTTTGAACTTAATTTGTACAAAACGGTCACCAAAAGTCTAATTTGCAACGACACGGTAACAAAAGTTTGAACTGGTATGAAATGGTCACACTGTTTAATTTGTGACCATTTTGTTCTAAGTAAAAAGTTTTGTTATCAAATGGTTATAAATTAAAGGTTTGTGACTGTTTTGTACTAAGTGCAAAGGTTTGTGACCATTTATGCTAATTACCCTGGAATCATGATTGTCATGTCGATGGAATGCCGGTTGGTTGAACCAGATTCAACCGGTGTCGGTCATGAAACCGGCGTGAACATCACCGGTATAACTAACATGATCGACTAACGAATTCTAAGCAAAAAGACGTTGTTTAAGTGAATTTAATTAATTAATTAATTATTTCATGAATTAAAAAATCAAAAGGGATGTTATTTGTTGGATTGTAAGCAAATTATCCTCAAATATGTTTTATATATGATTTAAATTCATTGGATGCTAATGATTTTCACATTGTAAGAAATTTTGTTAAACCGGTATGAACCAACACAAACTAATTATACCACGAGTCATACTATTTCACTTGCCAAACCAGTACTAAACCGGTTTAACAACCTTGCCATGGTCAATGCAACCGCGAATATTGTGGTTAGCGACTTAGCGTTACAAATTTGGAATATTATCGTCTCACATTTAATTGGAAAAAACATAAACTTCCGTCTTCCGGCACTGGCAGGTGGCAATTGAGTTTCCACCGGGATGATTCGCCGCTGCGGGTCCTTACACTACTTCTCATGTCACTCTTCTCCAATACAACGATCTTCCGGCGACTCCATCCTCACTTTTTCCGCTCATTCCCTCGCTCGATTCCTCCGTCACCCTCTGCCCCCTCTCCACCTTCATTCACGTCGATTGCCATCATTCCGTTCTGTCGGGCATTTCGTCGAACGCCTTGTGTGCGGTTCCAACTTTCTCGCCGTTTCACGTCTCACCTACACGTCTCCGCGGAAAATCTTGGAACCGCTCTTGAGCTGATTCAGGAAAGAATTGATTGCCATGATCCTTCGAAGCACACTCTCGTCGAATCTCTCACGGTCGCTTCCCAGTTCTCCACTGAAGCAGAGGCTACGACATATTTGGATGACAGCGGCATCAAGCCCAGTTTGGAACTAGTGTACTCGGTCATCTGGGAGTTGAGGGAGAACTGGAAAGTCGCGTTCTTGGCCTTCAAATGGGGAGAAAAACGGAAGTGTGCTGATGAGAAAGCTTGCGAGTTGTTGGTATGGGTTCTGGGAAATCATCACAAGTTCGGCATTGCTTGGACTTTAATTCGAGATTTGCATCGTGCCTCGTTGAGTATCCGCAGCGTGTTGCTTGTTATGATTGATAGGTGAGAATCTGGATTTCTTCAGTTTCATTATGCTGCAAGTTCAGAAATTTCTGTGTAATTCGAGTTTGGAGATAGAGTGACCACATTGGTGATACGGTTAAGCTTCCAACTTTATCCTTGAAGGGTATCTTGATGTTCGACACTAACTTCTCCTCTATTTGCTAGATATGCTGCTGCAAATAATCCAGAGAAAGCTATATGGACATTCCGTGTTATGGAGAAGTTCAGGATGTCCCCAGACCAAGATGCATTCTACTCTTTGCTAAAAGCCCTCTGCAACCATGGAAACATTGAAGAAGCTGAAGAATTTATGTTTCTCAGTAAGAAGCTATTCCCATTGCAAACTGATGGTTTTAACATCATCCTCAGTGGGTGGTGCAATATTTTTGTTGATATACTTGAAGCAAAGAGGATTTGGAGGGAAATGTCGAAATGTTGCATCGTGCCTAATGCAACTTCTTATACGCTTATGATTTCCAGCTTCTCAAAGATTGGGAATCTTTTCGATTCAATGCGGCTATATGAAGAAATGAAGAAAAGGGGTTGGTCACCAGGTCTCGAGGTATACAATTCCCTAATTTTTGTTCTAACTCGTGAGAATTTATGCAAGGAAGCTTTGAAAATTCTGGACAAAATGAAACATCTGGGAATTCAGCCTGATTCTGCAACTTATAATTCTATGATACGTCCATTATGTGAGGCAAAAAAGCTAGTTGAGGCAAAAGATGTATTGGCGAACATGATTGAGGATAATGTAAAACCAACTACTGATACTTACCATGCGTTTATAGAAGGTTCTGATTTGAACATCGGCTGGGAATTGCTTGGCCAAATGAGAAAGGAAGGTTTAAGTCCGACTGGAGGAACCTTTTTATTGATGCTTTCCAAGTGCTTCAAGCTAGGGCAAGCTGAGAGTGCATTGAATATTTGGGCAGAAATGAAACAACTGTATGAAGTGATGCCTGACAAAGCACATTATGAGATGTTGGTGGAAGGCCTGAGTAGGTGTGGAATGTTAAACAAGGCAAGAGATTATTATGCTGAGATGAGGTCAAGAGGGTTCACTGATGATCCGAAATTGCAGAAGATGCTGAAAGAACCAGTGCCTGGAAATATCGAAACAGTGGAACGTTTGTCTAGAAAAGTTCATAAAGTTCGAAGAGGGGCAGTCCATTGAGAAAGTAGCTTTGGCTTGAATGGCCCTGACTAGGAGAAGTTCATGTGAAGGATCTATTCACCATGAAGCTCATCAAGCTAATGCATGAAGCCATGTTGGAGGCTGTACACAAGTTTTTCCACAACATTAACCAGCTTAATCTGGACTAGCTTGGTGGCGATTCTATCAGGATACTGTTAAACCTGAGGTACTCCCATGGACTCCTTACTCTCAGTGTGATTTTACGAGGACCAGAATCCCTGATGTAAACTCCGTCATGTTTAATTTTAATGGTTTGACATGGCATTTATTAATCCGGAATTCACATTTCTTTAAGCATTGAAGCATAATTGATATCGATATCTGAAATGTTAATTTTTTTTCCCGTGTTCTGGCTGAGATAACTACCCTGGAACTTGTACCGGTTTCTTTTTAGCATTTACTCTAGATTTGTGGCTAACAGGTTTCCTGTGCTGATGAACTAGCAGTATTAAGAAGGGAATTAATTGAAATTTCAAGTGATACAAGTAGAAATATTGGCGTATGGTACTATCACTAACCAGTTGCCATATTAGTATTATGGTCTCGTGAAATTCAACATGAAACCTGTAAAACCATTCCTTTCACTTCCTTTTTTTCCTATGTTGAAATTAAGCCTTGGGGTCCAACTCCGTAGCTGAGAAACTCAAGACCACTGTGATCAAAGTCTTGCCTGTATCTCTTTAACAATTGAGAGTGTCTAATTGGTAGGATTACAAAGTGAATGCCCTGGGAAGGTATTAATTCCCTTGATGCCAAATGTGGAAACTTTTGGATAGGAGTTTAATAGTTATTGCAGTGATTGTGTTGTATAGTAGATGTCAATGAGCTATTTGAAATTTTAGAGGAAAGCCAGTGAGCATTTGAACAAATCAAAAGTTTCATAAAACCGCTCCAATATGTTGAGTTTGAACTCTGAAGGTGAAAACTAAAAAGGAGAGGGACCATGTTTTGTAACAGAAGGAACATCAATGTGTAATCTGTTGTTGTATGGTGTCGACACTCATGTTGTGGTAGGTCATCCTTGTCTCCCACTCGTTACCCGTTTAGGTTTTTATATTCCACTCTGTATTATCCCCTAACTTTTATATTCTCTATATATATTTGGGTTTTCATATTACAGCACAGCAACGGTCATATCCTGCTCAATTGAGTCATGGCAATTTGCGTACAGTTGGATGACAGAAGCGTAGCTAAGCCATGTGAGAGCCCTTCATAAGGCTGGACCATTTCTCTTCGATTTTCTTGATTATTCTGTTTTTCTTTCAAGCTTAAGAAATTTCTTGAACCCTCTTGAAAACTGGAAAAGAACCCATTATCAATTTATCATCCTTTCCTAGTTTCCTTCACTAGTCAAGAGGTAGTCGAAAAAGCCTTGTACTTTCTCAGCTTTCCTCGTGCTTTTACCCATAAAGCAACCAGGTCCAAAATAGACAAACATCCCTCTCTCAGAAAGCCCCCAACCCTCAGCTACCAAGCGACAGCCAGCCATGTCCAGCTCAACTTCAGCTCTTCCAACCTTGTTGTCCTTTTTCATCCTCGTCTCCGCCATCGCCGTCGTCACCGCCACCGACCACATCGTCGGCGCCAACAAAGGATGGAACCCAGGCGTCAACTACACTGTCTGGGCTAACAACCATACCTTCTATGTTGGAGATCTCATATGTAAAACAACTCTTCTTCCCCTGCTTTCCCCTTCAATCAACAGTCAATATGCAACAAGCTTTCTAAAGTTGGAATCTTTTTGCTGTTCGTTTGGTTTGTTGCAGCGTTTAGGTACCAGAAGAACCAGTACAATGTGTTCGAAGTGAACCAGACGGGTTACGACAACTGCACTACGGAAGGCGCTGTGGGGAATTGGAGCAGTGGGAAGGATTTCATTCCTCTGGATAAGGCCAAGAGGTTTTACTTCATCTGCGGCAACGGCCAGTGCTTCAATGGGATGAAAGTCTCTGTGGTTGTTCACCCTCTGCCGCCTCCCCCCTCCGGCAGCCTTGGCCTGAACCAGACGCATTCTGCTGCTGCTCCTCCTCCGGCGGCTCTGGGTTTTGTGGGTTTGACTCTCAGACAGGCCTTGGTTATGGGATTTGCTTCCCTCTGGTTTGGATCTGGTTGGATCTAGCTGTTGAGCCAGAGTAGGACACTCTGTAGTTCCTTCCAAAGTGGCATGGACTATTGTTCTTTTATTGTTATCTTTTCCAGTTACCTCTTCGGTTTGGGTACCTTGCGATTCAATCCAAGCGAAAGAGCAAAATGTAGGATTGAATTGATTGGTATTTGTGTTCTCTGTGAGACTTCGACTCGCAATTAAACAAAGAACTTGAGATTGATTTGCCATATCTTCCTTTACGAGCTTTACTAGTGCATTTGTATACACAAGACATTATTCAACCCCAATTCATTCTTGTCTTTTTCAGTTTCACTGATTCCTCGTTCACATCATACATCAGAGTGATTTAGAAGAAGGATTCTCAAAATAGATAAACCGGTCGGCTGACAAGCACTTACAGTAGACTATAAGGATTTCAAGAACTCATTTTTGTATACATGTGATTGTAAAATTTATAGAATGTATGAGTACCATGTTTGGTTTGCTGCAATTGTGAAATTGAGCCCATAATTAAATGACAAATATCATAAGATTACATGAGATACAAAACACGAGATATTCATACCAAAATTAAACAAGAAACAAAAAATGTAACAAAAAAAATGTCTTGTGGAACTCATTGAGCTAGTTACTTGCTTGTTGCGTAAACAACGTCAAAATAAAAAAAATGGATGAATTTAAAAGGGACAATAACGTGAAGAAACCATGCTATTTTAACCGTGATACATTCCTTTTATCGCCTCTGGAAATGAAAGAACTTGATGGAGAAGGCGAAGATGAAAGCAAAGAGAGCTGCAAATCCGGCAACCACAGCTGCAACCACTCCCAAGAAATCGTGTCTGAACCCGAAGTAGCCCCGCACGAAATCTGTGACTCTGTCGCCAGTATCAAGTCTAGTTTCAACATCTCCATATTGGGAGTCAACCAACCCATATAATGTCCATGCTACCGGAGACGCCCATGCGTACCATCTCCACCACACTGGCATCCGCTGTTGGATTACAAAAATGCAAACAAAATTGAACACCAAATCCACGAAAAAGGGTTCTTAATGGGAAAGGGGTTCATACGAAAAATTTCATGGGAAAAAGAAGCAACTTAACTGGTCGTGGAACGATGAATCCAGAGAATAAGTTCCAAAGGGAGTAAAATGCAGATGAAACAATGGAGGCAATGTGGTGGTTCGGTGTCACGGCTACAGCCATCATTCCGTAGTACGTGAAGTATAGCAATGTGAAGTAGATGAAGAATATATACCAGAAGAACTTAGCGGCGGTCCATTCAAACCCAATCATCGAGTATACTAAGAGGCCATAAACAAGAGCTTGAGAGAACACATACGGGATCTCAATCAGCACCTGAAGCCAAATAATAAAAAAAAAGAAAGTAAAACAACGAGTAACCCGATTACCCGACTACATTAAGCAGTCACAAAATGTGAGGGAAACTTTACTTGTGCATAGGCATAAGGCAAGGCAGAATACATTCCAGCTGCTCTTTCTCTATAAAACACACTTCTTTCAATGGCCACCATAGGTTGCACAGAAGATGAATTTTGGACTCCAAGAAAGATCACTGCCGCGTACATTGATCCCATTGCATTGAACAAATCTTGTCTCTTTGATCTATAGCAAAAAGAAATCAAGGATGGTATATGAGATCTTTGATAGAGATACAAGATCTCAATTATTGTTCGTCATATACACTTACGTTTTGGAGCCAAGATTCCAGAACATTGTCCCGAACATCAATGCTATGGCGATGGTGAAGAGAAACCTTACAGCAGTATATTGTGGATTTCGCCAGTATGATAAGTACTGCTTCCAAAAGCAAGCGACACATTGATTGACGAATGACTGTGAGTATTTTGTAGAAAAGTGCAAATCCTTTGAACCTGGGGCAGGTGTGCTTAGTTCTGCAATAAGTGCCTTGTTTCTCCTGAAAAGAAGAAGATGACATGTTGTGTTTCTAAGACATAAGTTTGATTTCTCACTTTCTTATAAGCGAAAGATTTAATCTCATATTAAATTTGATAGATTACCTATAAAGGTCTGAGTTTCTATAGGTAGCAGCAAAGTCAATTCCTTGTTCTGATTCTTGTGCTGAACTTGTAACTTCTAACATCCAGTTTGCAGGATTTGAGCCATCAGTGATTTTGGGGACTCTTTCAATATCCTGGACATAATGAAAAGCTTTAATACGAAATAATGAAAATACTAATGAAGTGAAAAGTTTAGTGATTTTTTTTTGTTATGCAACCTCAAAGTAGTTGATTAGGTGGCTGGAATGACGGCCAAGAGGCCCTACATACAACTCTTGACCTCCTCTCTTTAGTAGATAGAGCTGCATTGCCAAACAAGTCAGGTACATCAAAATGACAAAATTAGAAACTACAAAGAGAATAGGTAGTAAATAACTAAAGTTACTTTCTTACTTCATCAAAAGTTTCAAAAATGTCGATGCTTGGTTGATGTATAGTGCACACTACTGTCCTCCCAGTATCCACGGTGTTCCTGACGGCTCTCATGACAATGGCAGCAGCTCTTGCATCTAAGCCCGAAGTCGGCTCATCCATGAAGATGATAGAAGGGTTTGCCACTAGCTCAACTGCAATGGTTAGTCTCTTGCGTTGCTCTGTTGAAAGACCATTCACACCAGGTAATCCAACCAATGCCTGCCTCAATGGCTTCATTTCAATAAGCTGCATCACTTCCTCCACGAACATCTGTAGACAATATTGTAAATTAGCTTGTCCATGCAAATTTCATAAATAAATATTTGTCACCATTACTTTACCTTTCTAGTTTCAGCGTTCACCTCTACAGGTAACCGTAGCCAAGCGGAGTAGAGCAATGACTCGTAGACTGTGACATGTGGAGAATGTATATCATTTTGCTCACAATAGCCAGAAATTCTTGCAAAGGTTTCTTGTTTCTTACGATAACCTGAAACTGTGATGTTTCCCTCAATATATCCACCGGTTTTCCTACCAGCTAGGACATCCATTAGAGTGGTTTTACCGGCACCACTAGCACCCATTAATGCCGTTAAAACACCAGGCCTAAACGTACCACTCACACCCTTCAAAAGCTCCAATCTGTCTTCAGCAACACCTTCAATTTTCATTTCCTTTGCAGTACATGAAAAATAATTCCAACCTTTAGTTTTGGATTGATCTTAAGATGGTGGCATATGTTTTTCTTCTTAGATTCTTGGAAATTATCTTACCTGGGGCATGTCCACAGAGTACTTAACATCATCAAATGTGAGGCAGTATGGCTCAAATGGAAGAACCATTCCCTTTTTTGTGGGTGGAGTCTTAATTCCTTCTTCACCACCTTCACTATTGGACAACTCACCAACTACTCCGGGTTTATCTGCTCCATCATTTTGAGAATCCTCCAGCACTATAGTTTGAGATTTCTTGAAGGCTACAAAGACCACAAAATGGATTATAATGTGTCGTCTCCAAGGAAAGAAATTCTGAACTTGGAAATGAAGAATTTACTCACGGCTAAGGAAAGTGAGAGCTAGAGTGAAACACAAGTTGAATATTAGTACAAATCCAACTAGAGCCCCTGCTCCTATCCAATACCAATATGCATGAGGGAAAAATCCACGAGACTTCAAAACTTGAACTCCAAGAGATTCAGTCGAGTTAGGTAGAATCTGTCAAAACCAAAAGCATATGCTCATTAGCTTGGTTTCTTAAAAAAAATATACAAAAACTCCGAGGGGTAATAATAATATTACCTTGCTCCAACTCCTTCCAAGGAACTCATTAGCCACTATTGCATTCTGTCCATACATCATTGGTGAGATCCAATAACTCCAAATCCACCATTTCTTTATGTTTTCTGTCGAAATTATGTAAAAGGAAACAATCAACAGATCAAGAACATGTTTTTCCTGGAAAAAGTTGAAATTTATAAATAAGACGAAAGACAAAACAAAACACCTCTTGACAAGACAAAGCCACCAGATGCAAAGAGTGAAAGCAGTGCAAACGATCCAAATGTATTGGCAACAATCATAGTCCTTCCTGATGCAGCAATAAACCGGAACAAGGCTGAAGCCATTTGGCTCACAAGACATAGCAAAAGATATTGCTTGAACAACCTGCATATAGCTTTTATAAGATTTCTCAGTTGTGACAAGAACTTAGTTTAGCTCAGTAGGGTTATTCAAGCAGGTGTGTATAAAATGTTGTTCTGACCTTCCTGCATTTGGATCATATCCAATCACATAATATGTAAGAAACACCCAAGAACCAGCTTCGATTAACGTGATTGGAAATTTAAGGATCCATGGGGGAAGAGAATACGCCCATCCAGGATAGAACAAGAGATCCCTTTGCTTGTAAAACACATGAAGCCTTGCAATGGTCATGGAGATCTCAGCCATGCTATTGAACATGAAAGCATTCACCGTGTAGAATAAAGCCCCAAGGTAAATTCCACCATCAATGATTGAATCTCGATGCATCTCGGTCCGAAGAAAGAGTGTCATGGCCACTAGTCCCATGAATATAAGCTTGAGAGCATGAAGAAATAAGCAATCAAAATAAAAAAAATAATTCCCAATAACAGAGTGAGTAGATAATCATAGTATATCCTTCTAACTCACTTGTGCAAACTTAAAGATGTAGACGAATGAGTTTCTCTTCATGAGCAGCAACTCTCTCGCGAAGCAAGATTTGAATAGCTCCATTTTCCCAACGCCATATACCTTTGTTGTCAATGCTGCAGGGTGACTCCTCTTCTTGTCAAATGGAGACGAAAGCTCTTGCTCTAGCATCGTCCCCACGTGGAATGACTGAAATGCCTCTGCAAATTCTTTAGCATTGACAAACCTGTATGGATTTTCCTTTTTCATCCAGTACTGCTGTTGATCTTGCTTTGATGTCACCTGTAATTAAGTGCATTTCATTTTGTGATCCAAGTAATATAATAATATAAACTATCATAGCTTATTTTCTTAGTTGCTTACTTCTTGTAGGAAATCAGCAGAACCTTTCCTTGAAGGACACTTGAATCCCATTTGTTCAAAGAAATCAAGCACGTATTCCCTAGGTCCTTGATATACAATGTAGCCATCCGATAGAAGAATAACGTTGTCGAACAGATCGTAGGTTTCGGGTGTTGGCTGCAGAAGGGAGATTACAGCTGTTCCATCAAGAATATGAATGTAATGCTTTAGTGACTTGACAATTTGAAAAGTTGTTGAG